GTTTAGTATGCTGATGATACTCTACTTCTTCTACAAGCTGACGCCAGGCAGTTATTCTTCCTCAAAGCATTGCTCCATAGCTTTGCAGCCTCGACTGGACTGCATGTCAACTACTGAAAGTCACACATGTACCCCATCAATGTCTCCCAGAAAAAAAGTCTGACACCTTGCCGATTACTTTTGGATGTGATATTGGCTCTATGCCATTCACATATCTTGGACTCCCTATGGGTACAACTAAACCGCGCATGGAGGACCTCACACCGATGATGGATAGAGTGGAGAGGAGGCTCTCGGCTTGCTCGACCTGGTTATCTTATTCAGGGAGGCTACAGATGCTGAATTCAGCTATTACACCTATCACCACATATGCAATGTGCACAGTCAAACTGCCTAAAGGAGTCATTGATAATATTGATCGCGCAAGAAAGCAATGTCTATGGCGTGGTAATGACGCTAATAGAAAGAAGGGTGGCAATTTGGTAGCTTGGGAAACTGTCATGATGTCGAAAGAAAAGGGGGGACTTAGTGTCCTAAACTTGAGATTGCATAATGACGCCCTGCTCATGAAGCATTTAAGTAAATTCTACAACAAAGCAAATCTCCCATGGGTTCAGCTAATATGGAGCAAATACTATACCCATAAAGTCCCACATGCTGCTAGAGAAGTCGGATCCTTTTGGTGGAAGGATGTGCTCAGGCTCAACATCATTTTCAGGGGTATTGCCAAATGTGAATTAGGCAATGGTGCTTCTGTTTGTTTCTGGGATGATCTCTGGACAGACTCAGTGCTATCTCAGACATACCCAAGATTGGCCTCATTTGCTAGAAATGAAGATGCATCTGTCATGGAAATTATGGAAGCAGATGATTTGGACACTATCTTTTTCCTACCCCTCTCGCAGCAAGCCTGTGAAGAACTTGAGATGATACAAGCTCATTTGGAAGATCAACCATATGATGAGGAGGCAGCGGATCATTGGGTCCCAACCTGGGGGAACACCTACACAGCTCGTCGCTTCTACTCACAGGTGTTCAACAATCTTGATGCACACCCAGCTTACAAGATCGTCTGGAGATCCAGGTGTACTCCACGAGTGAAATTTTTTGCTTGGTTGGTTTTAGTTGATCGGCTCAATACCAAAACTATGCTACGAAGAAGACATCTCAATATCCAAGGTGACACCATGTGTGTCATGTGTGATGCTAGAGAAGAGGAGACTCTTGATCACCTTTTCTTTGAATGCCAATTCGCAAAGGAGTGCTGGGCAACCATTCAGATAGATTGGGATGTATCGCTATCGCTGCTGGACAGGTATACACAAGCTCGTGAAGCTCATACCATTCCCTTCTTCACAGAGGCAACTCTGATAGCGGCGTGGGAGCTATGGAAGGTTCGTAACGACAAAGTGTTTCAGAGAAGAGATCCAACCCCGAGCTTATGGCTGTCGAATTTCATAAACCAATGTAATCTTCAGTCTATTCATTTCAAGGATGATCTAAGATCATCCTTCTGTGTTTGGTTAGATGCTTTCAGTTAAGCTGCATGTAAGTAAACTATGTACCCTTGTTTTAAAAATTAATTAAAAGTCCTGCACTGTGGGGATCTACTCCACAGTATTTTCGGTCAGAAAAAACAAAACAAGCCGGCGGCCACAAGTCGCTCACCTGCAAACAATGTTCGCCTAAACGGCCTAAACGGCTAGTAAATGGTAAACGGTGGTAAACTGTCTTATTTAGGGGGTAAACGGAAATTAAACGGTTAACCATTTAAATGGTCAAAAAACGGGAAAAAATGGTCTAAACGGCCTAAACGGAACGGAGATAAACATCATTAAACGGGCTAAACACGGCTATTTAGACGAACACGAAGTAAATCTAGTTCAGTTTTGTATGAATAAATTTGTGTACTTAAGTTTATTATATTTATAAATGTGTACACTTGATATGTTACATGCATAAATATCTATATTTGGTTCTTTTCACATGCATAAATATATATACGTATCAAAATAATTGAGTTTTACTCGGATAAATATGTATAAATGCTAGAATACTTAATTTTTTTACATGCACATATATAATTATATGTATTTTTTTAAAGTACAAATCCGTTTAGACCGTTTAACTTCCTTTAAACACCGTGTAAATAGCCTAAACACTAAATAAAGGGCGACCGTGTAAAGACCGTTTACCGTTTAGAAAAACATTGCCTGCAAACCGAGCTATATCTGTGCTGTAATATTGCAAGTCGTCGTTGCTCAGAACCAGCACTAACGTTGTTGCTTACATCACTAGCAAACTCCTGATGGCCCATTAATAAAAGGTCAGCATCACCTCATTGTCCATTATTTTAGTGATCAAATATTGTGCTGATGTCATGCCTTATCATTCATGCATAATAAATCATCATTCTCTATTTATTCCTCAGTCAAGAAATTGTACCGTTCATATATGGTCGTGGAGCTGCTCGGGCTGCCAGTCAGTCTCTGTAGTTATATATGTTCATCATTGCCGTTATCTTATTTCCATCATATCTTAATTGCTTTAGCCCCGCTTTAATCTATTCTTTCTATGTTGCGTTGGAATTGATGTAGTCTGCTGTATGACAATGAAGTTTAACATGCTTCATGTTTTCTAAATTTTTAGTTTAAATATTAATTTTGACTAATCTCTGTTCACACTGCTTTCCAAATTAAAAACAACATGGAGATTAACAATCACCTTTTTGTGCGCCATTGTTAACTTGATTAATAGCAACATAAATATGTTTGTAAATAATAATTTGGTTAGTGTAAACAGCACCATGTATAATTCGAATAAATGATCTGACATGTTACTTTATTTTGCAAAGTTAAAATCTAACTTGCTTAAAACTATACGATAATATTTATAAATAAAACATGACTTGTTTTAACTCTGCTTTTGTATTAAAATTTAATTTGTCTAATCTGAATTAATAACTCTTCAATGATTTTGTTTAATTATAATAAATCAAGCTTGTAGTTGTTTTGTTTTCTTTTATAATATAAAACTCCCATTAGTTATTTCTTTTTAACGATAGTTCCATTATCGACATTTCTTGCGTTCTCTCGATCGTAGCAGCGAGTTCTCTCTTAGCACGCTGTTTTAAAGCTCTTGCTCTGCTGTTCTTAGTTGCTTTTATTTGTTGCTTGTATGATTGCCTATGTGTGGTGCTTACTATGAGTAGACGAGAACTGTTTCTGGACGCTGAAGATCAGAAGGTGATGACCGAAAGCTGATGGTATGAGAGTTGAGCAAGTGTTTAAGGCAAGTATAGCATAGGATCTTCCTTGTTGTCCTATACACCTTTAATCATTTAATTCATGCTGCATGTGTCTACCTTGATTACCCCTAAGGATTTCCTAGTACCTTGTACCTTGTTCCTTGACACCTTTAGGTTATTGCATTGAGTAGTATGATGCTAGTGCTCAACTACAACCATGATCTTGTAACGTGACTAATGGAATATGCAATAAACATTAAAAGATTCTTTTTAGCAACATGGAACAAGAGGCTAGAGCATTGGGCTATTTTATGGTGCTCTAGATTTCTCTCCATAAGGACTTATCTGTAAGTGATCATCCAGGACTTACAGTACAACTGTGAGGGCTACATGGCTCCGGCTTTAGCTCAGTACAAGGACCTTTTCTAGCTTGTTAGAGGTTACCTTTATGGCGCAAGAGGGGTGTGTTTCGGGTTGATATAGTGTGACCTCTGTCCGTCAGTGTATAGGCTGCGCGTTATTGTGCGTGTCGGAAGGGGAGCCCTACATTCGCAGGGCACAGAAACCTAGCGGCCCTAACTTGTTAGACGAACCTTTCAAATGCTTCATAGTGAACCCTGCCGACCTTCCTTGGTGGTGGGTTAAGAGGCTCGCGACCTCGGGTGAAAGGGTAAATCACGACTCACAGTGAAAGTGTACAACCTCTGTAGAGTGTAAAAGTGGTATATCAGCCGTGCTCACGGTCACGAGCGGCCTTGAAACATTTATGGAATAGATGATGAACACTGATAATACTGATGATGAAGATGCTCACTAATGATTTGTTTATGCTATTCATTATTCATGTTTACCTGATTATGTGGTTATTTGGGGCTTATGGTAAACTTATTGCTACTCAATTGCTTAAAGTTTTGACTCACTAAAAGCTAATCGCAGTAAACCCGTGTCGGCCTTTTGAGCCTCATGAACCTCGTGTTATATTTGCTGAGTACGACATGTGCTCATCCTTGTTATTTCCCCACACCCCCAGACTCTAGTAAAAGTTGCTCAGAAGATTGGTGAAGACAACGAAGGAGTTCTTAGGATACTATCAGAAGTGCTTGGCATACGTAGCCCCAGTTAGCCGTCCCTGTGAAGTTGGAGCCTGAAGAAAACATGAGTAACCGTTCTGCTATATAACATTGTTTCTGATACCCTCTATTCTTTTGTTGTATGTGTGGACTTCCGGGACACACATATGGCAAGCCTGGTTTTGTTCTTAAAACCGGGTGTGACATGTACATTTATGAGATATCTTGCAAAATATTTTGTACGTGACACTTGGAATTGACACACAAGCTTCTAGGTGCACGGGTGAATTGGTCATTATTAGTATGTTTCTTGCTTCTTTAAATTTTTAGAAGACCCAAGTTGTGGTCTCTCTTAGTTGCTTGGATTGTTAAATTTATAGAGAACAAATTTATCCTCTCTCTTGGTCATCTTCATGATTTCATAAGGGATTATAGTACTAAATACGACAACCTTAGTATCCAACACAAAATACACAAAATTTAGAAGTCATTACACACTTCCCATCCTGAATTGGAAAATTGGAATCACAGCAGAAAAATGTCCCATGTCTATTCGCTTGCCACAAGGGAAAGAAACTGGGAATTTATTACAAGTGTTCTTACAGAATAGTTACAACCACCTATATATATAGTATATGGCATATACTATTATAGTATAGTGACTTGGAGAACGGCGTACCTCATTAAGCACCAGACTTTGGCATAAAAGGGCCTATAAAACGCATGAGAAGGAGAACATGCGTGATGAACTCCCCACCGGTGCTGAGATGCTCGTAGTGGAAAGCGGCCCCGCAACGAGGCGCCATGTAGAAAAACTTCTCCAGCCACACCTCCGAGATGAGTTCCCAGAGCCCAGCTTCGTCTTGGATGGAGATCAGATCCTGGGCCAGGACACAGGCTAGAGGCAGCACTGGAAAGTGAAGCTCTCCCACTGTCGTCCACAGAAGTTCCTCTATCGTAGCGTTGATAGCAGCAGCATCCTGTGTAGGTCGATATTCTTCCACATCTTCCTTCATAGCGTCAAACAACATGATGGTAGTTTCTTTCTCATCTAGATGATCATGTGGAAAGTATTTTGCGAGTTCTTCATGAGCTCTCGTGTGCACAAGCCGGGAGTTACGTGTAAGCATGACATCGCACTTGAACACCAGGTACATGATATAATGCGATATCTCTCTGCTCAGCTTCTTCCTCGTCTTGGTTTCATCAGGTTCATTGTCGTCACGACGTCCATTGTCCTCTGAGAAGTAGCAGATGTCCGTTGCAATGTGCCAGATGAGCACGCTTGTTGGGAACTCAACTCTTCTGCTGAGGCTCTTCTGCAGTACATAGCCTGACCATTCAGCTAGTTGTGGAACCTCATGGCTGATTATCCACCTTCCAAGTGCTCTCTCACCACGGAAGCTGGCAAAGTCCCACTCGTCTCTCCTGGTTTGCAGCAATAACAACCTGTCGAGGATGAACAACTTGAGATCATCAGTAACTTCTGTGCGTTTTAAGTCAAGGAGCTCGGCACACCAGGTAGCAAAGGGTGTACGTTCAAGGATCCTGCTCCAGAAGGATGTAGTAAGGCATGCGTAGTAGCCCTGCACACTAGTGTACCTCTTTATCATGCTGTATTGCGCTAGCTCTTCTGACCACTGCTTTCTTGTGCGCCAGCCTGGAGGCTGCAAACAGCTCTTACAAATCATGGCTGCACATTCAACCACCGTTGTAGGACGAAATGGTTTTCTCACATAGGAGACAATGGACGTGCATGCAGGCAGCAGATCCAGGACTAAGGCCCCAACAAGCAATATGTAGGACACGATGATGTCTGCTTTACTGTGATGTCCCTCCTTTCGAGCAGACGCAAAGAGCACCAGGGCTATCGCGGTTGAAATGCTCTGGAAGAGGGTGTAAGTGATGAGGATAAAGAGGATGCTTGTTAAGCGATCATGACCCGTAGTATCGGGAACCCAATAACCCAAGATCTTTGAAAGTAGTGGTGCTTTGGTGTAGAGCAATTGGTAGAATTGTCCCAGAGATGCGGCCACGTACCGGTAGGCTACGCACCGCCGGTCTGCTGGCCTATCCTTAATCTCCCCCAGCACCTCGGCTGTAGCTAAGGTGACCACATCATCATCATCCGGAGCATCAACAAACATGATGTCATCCACCGACCCACCGATGACATGAATTTCCTTTATACATTCCCAGGACCTGTCATCAGTAGGGAACATCTCTTCAAACCTTTCTTTAGCAGCTAGATTCGCGAAATCTCGCGCATCATGCATAAGCCGTAGGCCTAGCCTACGTGACAAACTAACCAGGGATAAAACCCTGAGACTCATTGGACTGGCTGAGTAAAGGCAGAGGGTGCGACCGGCGTACTTGAGGAATCCACAAAGGAATATGAGGACCATGGCAGCCCTGAGCCGAGCATCCGGCCAAGACGACCTGGACACCACGTACCCGGCCACCGCTGTCTGGGTGACCAAGCCCAGCAGGTGCCTCGTCCACAGCTCGTTGTCCTGCTTGGAGAAGGCCGTGATGCTGTCCTGCCCGCCCAGGTGGACCAGCGCGAACGGCGCCCAGAACAGCATGAGGTCGTGGCTCGGCCCCTGCGCGTGGACCGCGAGGTGGCCGAGAATGAAGACTGCCACACTGTCGGCCGACACGTAGGCAAGCCATAGGGCATTGCTCAGCACGCGCGACGCGCTGCGCCTCCGCAGGTCCGCCGTGAGGGAGAGGAAGACTTGCAAGGAAAGGCTCACGAGGATCAGGCAGTGGATCTCCCACTCGTCCCATGCCTTTTCCGCATGGTCCAAGTCCAGGCTGAGGAAATCGATCAGAGACAGAGACAGACAAGTGTTATTCAGAAGGAAAAATTGGTTCTGCAGCATTGAAAGAACGCCATTTTTGAAAAATGCTATTGAATGATCTCGGACACGTAATGACGTAACGTAAAACACCGCTAAAAGAATGTTGCGTTGTCAAGAACTGGCATCCTTTCATGGTTTATAGCTAACACATGGTCAACCTCGTTTAGCTCCTCCCCTTCTTCTGATGCCGAGCTCTAGCGAAGAATCCCCTCGCCTTCTTTCCTATGCTCGCCGTCCTGCTGCTCTATCTCACACCTAAACTTCTTGCTAGACAGCTTCTCCTTCTTGCTCCTCCTCTCCAATTTTGCTCATTGCCGTGCTAGCACCAGGATCCGCGCCATCTACATGGCACAGCCACTGCCACATGGGCTCACACCTAGCCTTTGACCATCGCAGGCATGCTAGGACACGGCCTATAGCCAGTGCACAGCCTAGTGGAGGTGAGTTGCGGGAGAGCGTGGCTGGCTACAGGCGGCCATCTGTAGTCTAAATAGAGCCAGCAGCTCTCCTCGTCCTACCACATGAGCCACCAGCAGCAAGCCACAAAACCAAATTAGCAGTAGCTGCCCTCTGCTTAATGAAATACGTGCCTAAGCACGTTCTCGATAAAAAATTAGCAGTAGCTGCTTTCCCTTCTCTATCTTCTTCTCCCATCGGCGCAGCTGCCCCTTCTGCAACTGCAGACTACAGCAACAGGATAGAGCTCCCTACAATACACATTCCCCCGATGCTAGAGTGGGAGACAGACGGCGAGGCCGACGGATGAGCTGGCGAAGAGGAGCAAGTTGAGGAGATGAGAAAACATGGGGCAGGGAGAAGAAGGCATCTCACTGGCTTATGGGCTTTAATGGTGTGGGTTCATGCTGTCGGTTGACAACATGAGGGGATGCTATTTCGGGTTAAAGTTTGAATTTTTCGGTGTTATATCACATAATAGAGTTCTTTTGATGGCATTTTCCAAAAGAGTTTTTGCTCCGGTGGTCCTCTAAAAAAATTGCACAGACCTTAAAGCACTGAGATAATTAATTATAATTAATTTATTTTGGATCTGGACTAGGGCCGGTCCTATCCATGCCCAAAAGAAGCTTCAGCTTCTCCCCAGTCACGTCGTATGAATGGGAGGGCGGACGGCCACGACACCGCCCATCTTTGTGCCTTCCTACCGTCTGAAGGACCATGAGCCAGAGCGGCGCCCAGGGGAAGTGAAGGCGTAGGAGGCAAAAAAAAAAAAAAACCTACACTGGCAAGGTGGAGGGTGTGCAGACATCGATAAGGTTTTTTTTTATACATAAAGTCATACATCGATATGTAAGATAAGCATCCACTCTACCGCCATAAAAAAAGTCAGTTATCAGTGGACATTTTCACTAACGTTTTAAAGGGTGCCTATGGAAATTGTTTTTTATAGGCATTTATCATAAGCTAATGGTCTATGAATATTGATTTATTTCATTCACAAACTTAAGACTACCACCAATAAAAATCAGTTCTAAAAAATAGCATGAAAAATTGGAGCAGCTTCCTCTGAAAATTGTTTCCAGAGAAAAATAGACTGTTTTTATTGGCTGCAAGTGCAAATGTCCATTTCTAAATTCTAATGGTGATTGTTTAACCTAAGCCATCATTTTTGCACGTTCCAATTATAGTCAAATCCAAGAAAGATAGAGCTATGGAGCCTCAGAATATATACACTATAGAATATTTAAACACGCAAAAGGAAAAACAAGAAACTTAAATCTTGTTACCTTCGTTTTGCCGTCAGGTTGCCACAGCCAACCTCCCCATCATTTCTCAGTGGTCTCATATTTGTCAGGAGAAGAAGCAAGCACAGCGCGCGCATGGTGTCCGGCCGGTTCTCGTATTTAAATGTGCTTGTAGAGATGGAGTGAGAATGCTAACTTTTGCGCTTTTCGTGTGGATATATGCTTGCTTCGATGAAGAGCAAAGCTGCACGTGCAAATAAACTGCCAAGTAAAACATATAATTACCAACTAAAATAGAATAATATATCAGTTGTAGGACATGGTAATTCCCTGGAAAACAAATGCTTTTATGTATCCCAATCCATCTTAACATGCTTGGATTATTCCCTGAAGCCTGCATATGTCGTCAGATCGTAATAACAAATTAAATTATTATATGTTAACGCTTGCATGTTGGTTTTAGTTACGGAATGTTGCTCACCAGCAGCATCCTTTTCTTGTCTCCAGGGTATAGCACATTCTTCTCTGCTGGGTTGTACCACTGCTCCACAAAGGGGATTAGTTCTTTGCTCTGGGATGCTGCAAAGCATGCTCCTCAATCCTCATTACTAGTTGATACCCCAAGTATTGGTGCCAGAACTTATCTAGTTCATGAGGACGATGAAGTGAAAGTCAATTGAACTACTACTTTCTCAGCTCTAAATTGTAGTTCAATTTGATTTTGTCCTAAATCAAATTTATATAACTTTGACCGTATAACTTTTTTTTTGTAATACAAAATGAGGTTAATTATTATTTAAGATGAAGAGAGAACATGTTAATGAGATCTTCAAACCAAGACTCTAGTTTTTTTTTTTGAGCAAAAAACCAAGACTCTAGTTATATGAGCTCTTCTAGTTTAAGGCCCAAGTAATGCAACACGACCATGACCGGTGGGCTCTCTTGCTGTAGAGTCGGCCGCTACATCTGGGCTCCACCTTTCTAGACGACACACTGTCCTTCATGTCACCGACAGAGAGCATCATCCTATCCGCCTGCTTCATTACTCTCTCAGGTTTTTGGCCCATGGAGCAGCAAGTATGTATTTCCTTTGCTTTCTATAATTCTTTGTGTATAATCTCAGCACAATGATAGTCCTTTTCTTCTTATGTTTGATGATCAGGTAGACAATCTTTTTCTTCCGTATTTTTTGTTATTACTTTTAATTATTTATTTGCTTTGTTTTATTCCTTTCTTGTTGCTTTAAAATTCGTGTTTCCTTTCACTTCTTCTTGCTCTCTTTATTACTTTTATTTAGAAATTCCTTTCATCTTGTCCATTTCCCCTTTGTTTCGTAATAGTTTTTTCATCAACCCATACATATCACTATTATTACGATTGCCTTACGTATCATTATTTTTATTGAACAACATTTTTTCAAAGACCGTCCAATGTCTTTTATTTTTAAGGTTTAACATTTGTTCTCATTAAGCTAAACCACTAATAAAATTATTCTAGCTTTATTTGAAAAATACTAGATTTACAATGAAAAATGTGATGGCTTCAGGAGCAAAATGTTTTTTGGCTACAACAAAAAATGTTGTATCTGCATGAGAAATATTTTTCTAGTGTGAAGCTAGAACAATTTGAATTTAAGGTAGAACAATTTTTTTGTACATCAAGAACATTTCTTTAAGCTTCTGCTATAAAAAATTATGATATGAACACAAGTTACACATGTGTTCATACTAAATAAGATCAAGCAAGAGATGATTACATGACACTGGTATGGTCGTCAAAGTCACTTGGCTTCTACGTAGCCCATGACGTCAATATCGGCTAATTATATAATATATATATAGCATATACTAGCAAATAGAAACCAAAAGAGGACCATAAAAGATTCAAATAACTAGGCGCTAGAAGATAGAGCATCTATTTGAGGAAAACCAAAAACTGATTTCATAATTTTTTTCGAGCTAAAACAAATTTTGTAAGATTAAACATGATTTTGGGATTTTTTAGTTGCATAATTTTTCCAGAAGGCATTTGGATAACCTTTTTAAAATAATTAATTAACTCTTTTTGATAAAGTCCATTTGACAACTGAACTATCAACATAATTCAATTCACTCTCATCGTGGCTAGCGCCGTTTAAATTGGTAAAAATCATGCATGATCAAATGCATACACGACCAAAGTATACATAATAGCCCAAAAAGTATTTGTATTGTAATAGAAAAGAAAACTAAAATTAGCCCTAGGTATCGAGAGCTCACCAGATGAATCTAATTCTTAGCCCAGAAAAAAGAACCATATTAACAACAGGAACAATGAAGATAAGGAAGATAACAGGAAGACTAATCTCAAAGAATTTATATGCTATTGGAGATCAATTTTGAGGGAGAAAATAAAGAAGTACTAATTACATTTTAGTAGCTAATTGGAGATAATAGGCAGACTAATTCCCAGCTCGCCTACAGGGTAGGTCAGGCATGGTGATCCACTAATTCCCAGCGTAAAAAATTATACCGAACAAAGCCTGAACCATCCGGTATTAGGATAAATGATGATCGGCTACAACGCTTGATCTGGTGGCCGCATGCATGTAAAAAATGTACAGCCCAAATTTAATACTCAATCAATTCCGGAGAAGTCATGAAACTCCAGAACCCTGCCGTGTAGATCAGAGGTCTCTTGTTGTTGTGTTGCGTGCGAATACCATAAGCAAGGCTGGAAATTAAAGATACTACTGGGACCGTCCGCCTTACAGAGTGGCCAACGTGCTCGTATAGTTTGGGGGAAGAAGCTTTTTTCTTTCTGGGGTGGGTGGGGAGCTTTAGAAAATGACCACTCAGTATAGTCATATATTGATCAAGTTATGTGTATGAATAAAATTGGCAAGTTAAGTAGGGATAGCAGATACACACACCAGTTTACACATGCATTTGTTATGGTTTTAGGAAAAGGAAATTTATTATGATCTCTGCAATAGTTTTGCACACAATCATTTATTATTACAAATTCAGCCTCCGGCTGATTAAAGACACAAAATATATATAAAAAAGGTTTGGAGATGAACTCAAACTCGATGACGTACTATGCAATATAAGCCTATTAGAAGACAACCACCCATTCTTTGCGAAGATCTCTGTTGCCATAGTTTCAAGCGAACGCCGTGCATTTGTTATATATATATAGTTGAACCATTGTTAAGGTTTCAACTAAAAAACAACACAACAAGAGCCGATATATATAAGTTGAGCTAAGGTTTCAACTAAATAATACTAAAATTCCGCACTAGTGGAATGAATAGGATGAAAACATATATAGAGATTG